ACACTTTTAGTCGTTCTGTATTTAGTTTGTTTTACAGCATAGTTTATGAAGCCAGAGCAGGACAAAGGGAGTGTACAGTTGTGTGAAACACTCCAATTTACTTTATTACAATTTCTTTTAAATTCTAAACATGCCATTTCCTCAGCTAATGCAATTTTGAGCAATAGTGGAACTCCCCGGCATGAGAGTGGCCTGTTGTTTTGTATGAATAAAAGTGTTACTTAATAAATAATTTAAGTTTTTGTTAGGCTGGTCAATAAGAATAAGCCTTGATCCCTGTCTGGTCAGTCTTTGTGTGCTTTCATGAACAAAGGACTTGAAAAAAATGTAGGTCACCTGTCAAAACATAAATGATTGGTTATTCTTGGGATATCTGCATGGCTCCTGAAACAACTGATAAGTGTCCTGGAACTGTATCACTTCAGTATTTTTGTATTTCTTTATTTAAAATGGAGCCATAGATGTGCAGATGAGTTAAATTATAAATGGGTAAATCTTAATTAAATTGGCCATCTGGAAAACATTTGAACTTGCATATGTATCCATTTCCATACACAAATTCCAAAATGGTTACTTACGTTAGAAACTGTGATAATCTTGGATATTAAAGGGCACATTTAGTGGGTAATGTAAATATCACCCACAATAATATTATGGGTCTAAAAGTCTGGTCTGTGGATCTCCAAGAGATGATAGCTATTATTCTCATGGGAAGAAGATTTATTACAACAAAACCCTGTTTTCTCCAGAATCTTCTTTTAAATAAACATAATTTTAACATATTCCATTTATTTTTATTTATTTTTGTGTGCTGCTGAAGGCTGTGAATTTGTTATCCAACTATCCAATCGCAGTCTTTATTTTCCGAATGGAACGTGATGCAAAAATAATGGCAAAGCAGTACGCCTATCAAACAAAGCTTATCATGGTGATAAGCTCAGTTTGTTTAGTCTGCCGCTGATGTTGATTTTGCTCACAGACTGCCATGGTCAGATGTCTAGAGCAGGATTTGGAACAGAAGCAGGTCACGGTTAGCTGCAGCTGGTTTTCAGTGATGGATTTACAGATCTGGAAAGTGGCAAATCAGAGATTATACTACATGTTGCACAACTGAGAATCCAGCAAAGTAATCACACATAATATACAGTATAATAATAAATGAATAGTATTTCATTGCAATTGTTGGCAGTAGGAGGTTAAAATGGGTAGCACACAAACAGTTTGCACTATTATACCAGCAATGAGATGATGTTCATGTTGAATAGGGAAATTGTGGCACAAATAATATGGATCCTGGGTCACTCTAGGGTTGAGGCCAATGAAAAAGCAGCTTAAAGTCTATTTAATAAAAAAATAAAACTGATAGGTAAAGCATACTACAGTAGTCTATGATTAAAAATGAACTCAGGATGGCTAGTTGTAATAAGCAAAAAATAATAATTTACACATATTACCACACATATTTTTGGTAATTACAGTTTTGACAAGTCGAAATAAACACCAAGTTACACATATTGAATATTAGCAAAAAATATTAATTCCAGTTGGACTTCAACTGTTTTGGTAATCATCATTTGCTGTGAATGTGGCTTCTAACTGTAGCATCCCAATATATCAGATATATACTATCAGTAGCTATAAAAAGGAGACCTGTCAGACCCAAAAATGCCCTCTGTACTGGCTGAAAATATGACTGAGCACATACAGTAAATATTTGTTATATCGGATTTTCTCTTCATCAGTGGGGGGCAGTAAAGCGCTACTGATGCCTCGGATATCCGCGAAGGAGATTTCCATGCTCTCATCAGAAAGCGACAAAGATGGCGGCCTGTGGGCTATTCCGCTCCCTGTCTTCCAACTTTTTCACAGTTTTGCCTTTACTTACCCGGTCGCCACCACTTTCTTCGTTGCGGCTGGCCTCTAAACCTTATTTTGGAAGAACGCTAGCCTCCTCTAGCCGATTAACAGCAGGTATTCCCCCTGTTAATGTAATTTATTGTAGCATGTTAGCTCAAATTTTCGGTAGCTAGAGGCTAACATTAGCTAGAGAAAAGGAACGAGAGCTGACGACGCTGCTGCATGACTGTCTGTGTGTTTTTTCTCCTCGTTGTCATAACGTTACTGCCCGTGGATTACATAATACTTCAAACTCTTCTAGTGGGAGGCCCTTCGTGTTCTGAGTCTGTTGTGTTATCTTGCAGCACTTAAATTCACAGACAAACATGAATGGATTCGAGTTGAAGACGACGGAATCGGGACTGTCGGTATCAGCAACTTTGCGCAAGTAAGTTTCCTGGCCATGGGCTCACACAGATGTACATGCCCATGCACTACAGTAAATATCTTTTGCGCCTGCCTTTTGACCTTGCTTTGCAGGAGGCTCTGGGAGATGTAGTTTACTGTGGACTGCCAGAGGTGGGAACACAGCTGGCTCAGCAAGGTATGGTGTAAAGTACTATATGAAAGTAATAAAGCCTAATCCCATACATCTCATTCCCTGGTGGTGTGGAGAAAATTGAAACTGTTGACTGTCTATAGCTGGTGATACTAATATTATATATTATATTATATAGCAATTTTGAGACTTGCTATTTATATATTACAATGATGTGGTCCAATGTTATGAATTTATGGACAAGTGAGCAACATAAATGAGCCTCTGCTTGTTTTTTCAACATACTATTGATTGATTATCTGATTTTGTCAATACCACCACAGTTGTTACTTTATAGATGACTGTAAGATAGCTACGCTGATCTTAGTACAATCCAAGGCCATCAAGAATGACATAAATAATAAGGTGTGTTTTTACCCTGTTTAAGTCAAAAATTTAAATTTTTGTGCAGTTTTGAAATGGTAACATATGTATCTGTGTTTTCTAAAGCACGGATATCAACATGTTTTTCTAGATGAATGATTCTACATTTTAAAGCAAGAGCTACATAATTTTCTCTCATTTGCTTGTTTCTCAGACACAGTTGTGTTGAGAAACAAGCAAGTGCTCAGCTACTTTCCATCCATAATTTTCAAAAAATGCATGTGGTTGTAAAATTAATTTAGCTTAGCACCTGTGGTTGTGACAACATATGGCCTTGGCCTCGTGCCACTGTACACCTACTTTAAGGTCAACATAACTTAGCAATAAATCCCCTGTGCCTTCTGTGCAGTTAACATATTTCTGAAATGCACCTGTTTCTAACATCTACTGTCACAGATGAGTTTGGAGCTCTGGAAAGTGTAAAGGCAGCCAGTGAGCTCTTTTCCCCATTGACTGGAAAGTTGTAGAGGTCAATGCACTTCTGGCAGACAACCCTGGTCTTGTCAACAAATCTTGCTACAAAGATGGTAAGCACACATAAAGATAAATATTCGTTCAATCCATGTAGATCATTCGTGCAGTTATTTGAGTAATGAGTTGGGAAGTCAAAGAAGCAGAAATACATTAGGCAACCCTCTGAAGTCTAAGGTCGTTTGTACAATTTGTATGTTGGCACTAGTCTTTGTTTACCTTCAAAAACAGTTTCTGTAGTGATCTTTTGACAGGTGTATATCTTGCATGGGGAGCATTCAAATTTTGACTGGTTTGCCTGTGCTTGTACCAAAAACCTTAACATGGTATTGATTTGAAAATCATTACATATATATATACTGATAAATTGGCTCTCATATATTTTGGTGTATTCAGGTTTAACAACCATTCTTCTTCCCAGTAATGGACTGTGAGCTTGAAGGAAACTGCAGCTAGCTTCATTTTTATATTTTGGACACTAGGGGGCAGTAATGCAACATAACATAAGGCCACTGTAGGATAATGCACATAACATAAGGCCACTGTAGGATAAAGAGATAAACCTGGTTTTGTAGTATTAAAAGTAATGCATTGTACCTTGTACAGTCTTTTTTTGTTTGTGAAAATTAACCTTTAAAACATATTTTTTATATTTCAAGTTTGAGCTATCTTTATCACACCTGATCCATACCAATGATTTTTGCATGTTTAGCATATTTCTCTATTAAGGTGTACTTTAGATTACTGCTAACCATTTTCTATGGCAAACTAGTATTTCTTCTTGGGAAGTATTTCCTACTTCCAAAACAGTGACCAAGTTTCCTTTCAATTACAACTATGAAAATCCACTTAAGAGACTTGACACTTGGTTGAAATGGTAATCCATCACACAGAACACATTCTGCATTTTGCTATTGAATGACACTATAAATGCATGGTAATGCACCACAAGTTCATTTCGACTCATAACAGAATTACTGTGAATTGCTAATGTGCCTTTGACAACGGTAAAGGCAAAAATATTGTTCACTATGATGCATTACTTAACTGAAGCAGGTGAAAACCAAATGTGGCAGTGATGTTAAAATATGTGATGCAAAAACACTGATGTGGTCCTTAACTCATACCTTAACCTGATTTGAACCTATTCAATATAGGCTGGCTGATGAAGATGACCATTGCCAACCCTGCAGAGCTTGAGACTCTAATGGACGAAGCATCCTATGAGAGATACATCCGCTCCATTGAGGACTAATCTAACACCTCATAATAAGTTCTATACTCCCTCTCTCCTTCGCAAACACCACTGGCAGGGAGATCCACAAGTTGTGCCTGTCAAAGTTACAATGCTTAGATTCCACCAGGGGAACTCAGGAGTTCCAGATTGCTGACCTGCCAGTGTTGTAGAGCTGTGAACATTAGGGATCCTTTATCTACTGTTAAAGACTGACTTTAGGGGACCTGTCTATCTGCACTGACTAAACATCCAATGTTGAGTTGTTGCAGCCTCAAATCCCGACAGAAGAGACAGAGACTCACAGTTAGAAGTTCAGTGAAAACTTGAATTTCTATTGTAGGACAATGTTAGACTTAAAAATGCACTTTGATCTTTATGGTATTAATAATAATGTTGGTCTACGCTGCATGTATGACAGCTACACTGTAGACATGGGACCTGTAAATTAGAAAATAAACATTTCCTGAGACATTGTTTTTTTTCTTGGTGATTTTTATTTAGACTTGATATTATAAATGTGGGCAGTATTGTGAAAATTACAGCTTGTCACATTAGGTTCTGAACAGGCTATAATACTTGGCGCTATGTCAGAGCATCACATATAAATAATATAAATGCTATTTGCATATTTAATCATTTTAATCACTTAAAATAAATAAGAAGAAAACCTCTTCAGCCTACCACAACATTTCCAGCCTAAAGTTAAAATCCATTATACAAATATTAAGTATACAAAAAGGTAACACCACACTCAAAACTCAAGATTGGAACATGATCCAACCTCCTACTAGATGAGGAATAAATCTCAGTTTTTATGATGTTGTTTAGAAGTTTGTAAACAGTGAAATAGGTCTCTAATTTGAAAATAATTCTGAGAAACAATGCAATTTTCCGCACTCACAACTCAAACTCTACAATGTATGTTTATGTGAAACATACCCCAGATTTGTATGTTCAAAAATATTAATTGGGGCTTTAAGAAAGGAAGCTGCACTGAAACCAAGAATATTAACTAACCCGGACCAGTGTTTGTCACCTGGGCTGGTATGATACCATTGTTCAATACCCGAGATTATACTCAATGAATAAAATGTTCATTTTGCCTCCCTCTTGCAAACTTTGTCTCAGTTTTCTCATCACAAACAAATGTTCCTCACTCTACCCACATCTTTGGGTTCAGTGTATATTTAAAGATGACACTTTTGGGCCTGTTCTTTCCTCATTTGAAAGACTATTGTTCTCTAACAATTTGGTCGTGCATAACTGTCAGAAGACTGTACTTTCAGTCTTGATCTCTGGGTCACCTGAGAGAGGTGACTGCCACAGCAGGTACTATAGAAAACCTGTCCTTGGCTGTTGAGGTTCGTCTGGCCCTGCCCCGAGATGCAGGAGGCCTAGTGAGTCCCTCCATTCTGCGATAATCCCTCTCTAGCCTCTCCTTTCTCTGGGTTCCCTCATGCATCACGCTGGCAGTAAAGTCTCTTTCATTAAGGAAGGCAATGGTCTCGTCCCTCTTGCGGCTCACGTATCCTTTTAGAACAGCATTGTAGGGATTTGAGGCGGCATCTGCGTCTGGATCTTGAAGCTGGTGTTTGAATTCCATGCGAGTGATAACAGGCAACAGGAACTGCTTCCCTTCGGTCACCACGTCCCCATCCCTGTGCGATAAGCCCAGAGCCTCGGAGACCAGGCGTGGGGGCAGAGGCACCAAGTCACAGCCTGAGCGCTTGTCCACATACTGTCCAAACACTTTCCGCACCAGAGCTACGTCTTGCAGAGACTGACTCCTCCGCTCGTCCAGGTCTGTAACTATTCGCTCAGGATATGTCTGGCCAAACACCACACCTAAACAGTGAGGATAGCAAGGCAAGGAGATTTTTGTGTTACAATGTAGAGCTTTACTGAAGGTAATGTTTTTTTGGCTACACAACTCATTTGAAATGAAAAATATTAAGAAGCCAGCAGATGACCCCCATGGCCTTATGATAACTTCCTCACCAGCACGTCGAAGCATAGATGCGGGACATTTCCAGGGTTTGTGAATAAGCTCGTCTGGCAGAGCTGCAAGTTCAGGACACCACTTCCTAACATAATTGCCGTAGGGGTCGCAGGTCATTGCTGCATTGACAGGGTGCATGACAAAGTTCCAGTGATCCAGACCACACATGCCCCCGTTCTGCCACATCATTGCATCTATGGCAACATCTGCATCCACGAGAGTGTCCTAAGCACATGGAAATGTTGGAAACAGTAAGTAGTACTAATTATACTGTGTGTTGCTCTATATTATATCTGTGCGAGTACATTTAGTGCCTGCATGCATGCACGTCTCACCTGGAACCAGCGATAGCCTTCTTGCCAGGGCATGTGGAGATATGCTATGAGAAAAGACGCCACCACGTGTCTCATGTAGTTGTTCATCCAGCCTGTCAGCCACAGCTGCCTCATGGCTGCGTCCACCAGAGGATAACCTGTTCGACCTCGCTGCCAGGCCTTCAGGTGGCCACGATCACTGTTCCACCGCAGAGCCTGCAAATACCAGCAGGTGAGTAATGCTACTGCTAATAAACTTAGTTCTTCGTGGTGTGACATAGGCTTTTACTTGCTGATGAAGAAAGTCTTTTCATGTTTATTTATTTGCATATATTTGTAACACTTAAAGTATATTTTAATGTGTTATCAAGATGTCTGTAGCCAATTTCTACCTTGTATGGAGGTCTGAGGGATTCCCAGGGGAGGTCAGGAAACAATGTTAGCTGCCAGTAAGCCAAATCCCTCCATGCAAGTTTGCGCTGGAACTTTGGGGGTCGACAGCATGCCCCTTTGGCATCCCACAATAGCCAGCGTGGGCTGAGCTGACCAAAGTGAAGGTAGGGAGACAGACAGCTGGTATTTGGGGCATCTGCCCTGCCTGATTCTTTTTCATATCGATACACACCTAGGACACATGGGAGAGAATATACTGTTACATAAAGCCACACTTAACATTCCTGCAAACAGAGTGTATGATATGTTTACAATGTGCACTCAAGGTGCCTCACCATCATGAAGAAAGGTCTCTTGCCGGGCATGTGCTCCCCCTTCACTGAAATCCCAGGACTTACGAATGTTAGCTGCCCAGTCAATCTGAATGCCAAAATGAACACAAGAAAATATTGAGGACTATGATCTAATCTTTATTTATTCTGGCATGCAAACTGGTCAGGGGTAAAAAAGATCAGAAGGATACGCAAGCAGATAAACATACAGTGTAAGAGGGGTCTGTTTAAATTAACATGTTTGTATAGATAACTTGCAATTGTCTACTGCAACAAGAGAAACATAACGACGCGCAAGGTCGTCACTTTGTGTTGAAAAGCGGTGGGGACATAAGGGCTCAGATTAGGAGTGTGACGATACACTTAGCTCACTAGAGGAGATGATACACGATATTGGTGTCGTGAGAACAAGATGTGATGATACACCACTGTTGAAATCATCAATGCTGGAATGAGTTAATTTTGAGCATTAAACACTTAATTTCCTGCATTCTGGTGAAATTTTCTTCAATTTCTTCCTTTCTTGCATCAATTTCTGGTGGATTTTTTTTATTTTTGCAAAAGGTAAACACACTATTCAGGTGGCAGGTGACAAATGAAAATCTTAAAATATAAGAGAACGGAAAACTTGGCCAAAAAGAAACTTCATAAATAAAGTTGTTAAAGTTACTGACTGGTGCTGCACATTTTGGGGTCATTATATAATCAGTAGCTTTTCTTTGTTTAGCTTAAGTTAAAAAAGGTCAAATTAACCTTTCTCAAAGCATTTTAATTTTTTATTTATCATTTCTTGTTGCAAGCTATTGAGAACATTTATAACAAATGCTTTCAAAACCCCAGGGTAAACAACACTGATGCCGGTGTGACACCAAAATGTGTGACCTATCAGATTCTGTGACCCAAATGGGACGTTAAGCGCCAGAGGCTTTGTTGACGATGTGACACGGTTGCAGTTTGGTTAGGTTAGGTACAAAAAGTACTTGGTTAGGTTAAGTTATTAAAAGTACTTGGTTAGGTTAAGTTATTAAAAGTACTTGGTTAGGTTTAGGTACTAAAAGTACTTGGTTATGGTTAGAAAAACATTGTCGTTTGGGTTTAGTCACAGAATCTAATAGGTCACAGATTTTGGTGTTAGACTGGTTTTTACCCCGTTGACTTGAGCCTGCATTACATGTACCTACTGAGCTGCCTCTGGTCTCCATAAATGAACAATTAGCTTAGCTAACATTATTGGTTAATAACAGTGGGCCAAGTTTAAACTTTGCAAAATTTCTTATCTGACAGGACAGTTAATAATGTAAGGTAGCTTACTTTCCCACGGACAGCTTGTTCGGCAATTCAGTTCAGCTGTCAGACTAGCAAACTTGAAAAAAGGAGTTTTCATGCATCAATTTATTTTGAGTTGTAGCTCGGCCCAACAGGACTGTTCCACTTTGGCTACTGACCGTTGTGCCATCCTTCCTGTGGGGCATGCTTGCCAGGCCTAGCGCGTCCAAAGAGACATCCTGAGGCCAGTGGGCAGGTGTGGGGAGAGACGCAGGAGGGTCCAAGGGAACCCCTAACGCAGACCCTGGGTTCTGTTTACAGCAGCTCATGAAGTGAGACACTGAACCTATTCCTAAATCAAGACATGAAAACACAAAAGTTCACCATAATTGGAACTTACTGACATATTTCAAGTTTTGATTTTTACCACAAATATTTAAGCAAACTCAGTACACCAAATTCATTGTGTTGTGACTAACCTCTGAGTCCCACACCCTCTGTGCTAACAGAGTAAGGGTCTCTGAGACAGTACGAGTGGAACATTCTGAATTTAACACCATCTTTCTGAAGGGCTGACACCACCGCATCATCCCTCTCCTTCAGCCAGGGCTCATAGACGGCATTAGCCAAGACTGTTCTCGCCCCTGTCTCCTTTATTAGATCCTTCAGGGTTCGCAGAGAAGATCCAACCTTATTCCCCTCTCCATTTGCCTTGAGGATGACAAGATGGCTGCCAATGCGCTCCAGAGATGAACAGAAACAAGACAACGCTTGATGAAGCCAGTATTTACCTGTTAAAAAGTAAAGATGTGACAGGACAACAGTCAGTAGTTTTGCAAATGAATAAACTTTAGTTCTGTATGAAAATGTACACAAAAAGCACAGCCACCACTAAGATGCATTGTGATTTGACAAAGATTACCATTAACAATGATTACTAAATCAACTTACAAGCTCCCCCCATAGCCACCGTAATCCCAGGTCCCTCCTCCTCTTCAGGGCTCCAGATGAAGACTGGGATGACAGGTGCACCCACCTCCAGTGAGCCCATAAGAGCAGGGTTGTCACAAAGTCGCAAGTCCCTCCTAAACCACAGCAGTACTGGTGGGGGTGCTAACGGAGAACAGGGCAAACCTACAATCTGCTGGTTAGCGCCTTTGCGCCGCTGTCGCCTGTTCTTAGAGCGTTTCAGTTTCTCTGATTGATTCAGATCTCCCCCATCCATCATGTGGCCACCTTCTTCAATTGTGTTTTGCTTGGAAAATGAGCCAGACAGTCTGGAGACACACACCGTCTGACTTGTCCCTGGTGTCTCTTTATTAAATTTATCAACACATGTGCTTTTCTGAAGTTCAGTCTCTTGGGGTGTCTGAGGAGGCCGAGATACCACAGCAAGTTGAGAAGAGCTTCTCTGATTCAGTCTATCTCCAGGTTCTTGGCGGGGAGTTGACAGGTGGTAATCTTTCATTTCCAGTAGAGAGAGAGCCAATGTGTGTTCCAGTTCTTTGTCTTCCGTCTAAAATTTAATTAGGATAACCCATTATTATTGCTGTTAAAATAAGTGCCTATAGTCTTTGGGGTAGAGGTGACAAATTTCATGTACAATATTTGCAACTACTTCAAGTTGTTGCAGTTAAAACTGTCAAGAAGTATGCACTGTACCTTATATGACCAACCAGGGTTGATGTTTTTCAAAAACTACGCAAGAATGTGCTATGGTCACTGTGTATTTAATTATGGACTGGTATTTTTTAAACAGTCTGTGAGATTGTTGCTGTTGGAGAAATGATAAGCTAGCTAGTGTTAATGCCTCTTCTATTTAGTTCTTTAAATTATAACTCTTTTATGTTTAGCCTATTGAGGCAATTTGTACAGTAAATAATTTCACAGGTATCTTATCTATTTCAAAAAGTGTCAATTTCTTAATGTTGAAGGCCCTACACACCCTTCACACAGGTGTTTTCACTTCTATAAGCTAATCAGGACTGTGGGTGTGTGCAGACAATACTTGATGGACATCTCTCTGTTAGGTTTGTTCCACCTGTAAGATTAAAAACAACTTACACCATTGCCATTCTTATGAGCCCTCTGTTGGTGCTAAAATGAGTATACCCATTAATTCTTAGCAGTGCCATGCTGAGCAAAGGTCTAATCAACAAGAATAAGTGAAATACCTGGGTGTGCAGGTAATTAGTTCTGTGATTGGTGACTGACAAAATAGTTTCCTAAATGGCTTGAATCTAACATATTAGATTCATTTGGACTAATGAAACTGAGTGTCCCAGTATCCCAGAAGCCCCAACCACATGGCTTATCCATTTTCATAAACATTGCAGTTGAGTATTTATCTTACACGTGTATAGTTTACATTGATTAGTAAATCTGTAAATATAAAGGTTAATATTAACGTCACTTTCAATAGTTGTTTTTTTCCTAATATTACTGTTAAAAGACTGCTTGGTAGTAAGGTAAGCTTTCATTATGTGATTATTAATAGCTAATATAAGTTATGGTATATAGGTGGGACGTGGCTGCATTTGTACTCATTGTTACGTGAAATGCGTAATTTATACTAACTTATTTGAATACATTTTAATGTATTTCTTACAGCACATTATTAACTTTCAGCTCACTGCATGGGGTATTTGGTCCGAGGAAGACAAAACGACACCCTGAACAGGCCACCGCGGGGCAGCTGCTTACTAAATTCAGCCAAGATTCAAACTCATGTAAAAACAAAACCTTCTGTTTCCACTGACTCATTTCACTTCACAGTAATTGCAGACCACCTCAGGGTGTCCCTCTGTCAATATCAGAGCAATCTGATGTAGTATTTTGAAATTACAGCCCTTGAAAATGTCTGATATTTTCACTGAATTTCTTTTTACATCGACTATCAATTCAGTTAAATATGCTAATGACCTCACCAGTCACTCCTTTACTGTATTTGGCTCTTAGGAGATGTTATACATACAGTCTACACCAATTGCATTATGTTCAGCAGAAGCTCACTTTTATATTGAAATGTGCTGCGACACGATGTTACCGCAATGCCTAGAAAAAACACGCATCGCAAAACAGCGCGAGAGCTGGCTTGACTGTCGTTTTCGAAGTGGAGGCTGGCTTGACTGTCGTTTTCGAAGTGGAGGCTGGCTTGACTGCAGTAATGAAGGTGGGACTAAAATTTAACAGGTAACAAGTTAGCCAGAAAGAGAAATCCAAAGGGATGCCCATGTTGCTCTATTCCTGCTTTTGTCAATGTAACAAAGTTATATTTCTTTGCTAACACGTGTCAGCCATGACAACTTCACTCAAGTTTAGCTAATTTTAATATGGAGTCTTTTGCCTCTCTTAGTGGTCAAGAAATGCAGTTTTGGTTAACTCACACACACAGAGTATGTATACACATTGTTGTTCTGATTTGTTTTCATGTGATTTTTAAACACTCTTACTTGCTTCTGATTGAAATGTATTATTATCTACCAGTATTTATGTTTCTTTCTTTCTTTTTTTTAGATATGTTCTTTCATTTTGAACCACTTTGTAACCCATGTGGTAAAAAGTGCTACGACGTTATAAGTATACCCATATTCAACACTCACTGACCTTCGAGAAATATTCCTTGTAGATGGAGGTGAGGATAGAGTGCAGGGAGCTGCTGGCCGTGGACAGGGGCTGGATGAGAGACATGAACTGTGTGCGGGTCTCCTGGTGTCCCAAAGCCGACACACATATCGCGAAAAACCCTTCTGGATCCTCTCGACCCACCAGCACTTCCCTTAACATCTTTCTGACCAAGGCTTTACTGTCTTCGGCACCAGCCGCTGCTGAAGGAGGCATCTTAAAGTGAAAGGTGACGAGATACTATCTGTATCAAATGCTGTAAAACTCCTGTGAACATATATATATCTAATACATAGTTTTAACTCAATCGTTTAGATCAAAATGATCTCCACGTCCGGAACCTGCCCTCAGTGCTGGTTACCAAACAACAGCTGGTTTTGAGTTACACAAGCCATGGGTCAGTGTTTTGTAACCTGGTTTGTAATGGTTTAATATAGCCAGTAGGGGGCGTACAAGTCTAATAAATAAGAGCCATGTAGTGAGGCTAGTGAAACCCATAGGTGCCTGGCTGTTAACGGGATGTGAGGAACAGTAGGGAATCCCTGTTTACATTTCATTAATTACGGATTAGAGAGATTTCGATGCAATAAATGCTATGTCTGTTTTTTTCATCTGTTTCTGTCTCTTTGTGTATCATCTTCCCATATAAATATCCCTCCTCTACTAAAGCGGGTCAATTGTCAATCCAATACAGATCCTTGGTTTGATTAGAATTCATGTAAACATGCTGAGGGGCCACCCCCCTTAAGATTACCATTATTTATTTTTTATATATCCTTCATCTTTGCAGGAATGCAGTCCTTTTAGAAATGCACCCCGTGAGACTGAAAAACAAAGCCAGGAGACGTTGTACCCAGCAGTGACTTTTTAATCATGGTCTGTATGCACGCTGTAGAGGCGTTGCTAAGTAATTGATTTTTTTTAAATAAGACCATTCATAGGCATTTGAATGTAGGCAGTAGGGAACAATAATTTGTGACACTTGCAGACCAACCTCTAAAATGCTTTGTATAGTTGATACTTATAATACTGTATTGCTGGAATTACTCAAAGTCTTGTTTTGTTCGCTAAAAATATTCATCTAAAATATGACACGGGCTTCATGTACAAGGACATACAGTTTCAATTATTTAGGCTTTTATCTGAGAAGTAGCCAGAGTGTATGAAGGGGAGATGTGTTGAGAGTTGTGGTATGTGGCCAGAGCAAGACAGAAAGAGAGGGAGAGAGAGAAAGAGATTGAGAGAGAGAGAGAATCAATAGTGTTTAGACAGAGAAGTGGAGTCTAAGTGTGTGATCAATAGAGAGCAGAGAGGAGAGATTAGCTGCTTTTCTCTCTCAAACTAACACTGACAAATTGGTGAATTGGTGTATCGGCCCTTGGGCTAAACGGATTGACCTGCTGTTTCCATGTTCTACCGTGTACTGTCAATAAAGATCTGTGTTCATTGTGGCTCTCAATGAAGAGAGTGAACGAAGCACCAGAAAAGAGAAAAAGTTGGGAAGGGAGATGTAGAAGTCAAAACGGGGGAAAGCAAAGTGCAGCTCAGGTGCCCAAGTAGTCCCAATCCCCACAAAATGTCCACACCTTTCTCTCTCATTAACACATACGTGCACTCATATGTGCATCCTTGTAGACACTGTTATAAAACCATAATAACATCTCCAGGAAAATTAATGGAAAGACAGATTAAAAACTAAGTGAGGAGAAACGGGCCACTGGTGTAGCTATTTGCAACTCATAAATCATTCTGACACACCCACGCGCATGTAGACACATGCATAGACACACACACACGTACTGTAATTAACCACAGGCTATTTACTCTCTCCTGCTGTAAATTAGACATGCAGACACAGTTATTACATTAGGGGGATCTGCCATGCAGAATACTAACAGGAGGAGGAGGGGACACTGGCGCACACAACAAACGGCTCATACAAACATAAACACACACGCATACACATACGCAAGAAAGCGGGTATGGAAGAATCATAGACTGACGGGAGTGAAAATGAAGCTGCAGCACAGAGAATAGGGCCCCCAGCTCTTTGTTCCCTGCTGCATTTCATTATCTGAAACGCCAGCCAACACACACACACACGACACACACACACAACGCACCTCCCCCTTCCCTAAAGCTGTCTGCTTCCACTCCATGCACACAGCACAAAAAAGAGAGGAAAATAGAGATACTGCGTCAGTGCCATTCACTGGCATCTGGACTCGGTCATGACAAGTATGCCTGTATGGTCATCCTGAGCAGATCAGCCTGTCCAGAAGCTGCTCTGAGTTGAACAGTTCTCTTCAGCCTGCGCTGGCAGAAAGTACTTTCCCATAAATTCTATTTTAAGCAGAACAATGGGAGATAAGGACTTGATTAAAGCAAGTATTGATACTCTGTCTTGGGTAGCTTGTCTCCATTTAGTTCATTTGAAGTTTTTTTTCTTTCTGGCAGTCCACCTCCTTCTGTTTGTGTGTGTGTGTGTGTCCTCTGGTTCCCCCTACCTTCCTCACCCCTCTCTGTCCCTCTGTTTTCCCACGGTGATCGATAGCTCATTACAATCATTGACTGCGGCTCATCAGCACCTGTTAAGGTCTGGAGAGACAGAGAGAAGGTGCATGTGCGTCTTAAGGTGTGTGTTGTGTGATGCATGCCTATTGATAAATAGAAAAGATTGGTCTGAAATGAGTCAGAGGTGAAGTTTGACATTTCAATGGTTGTTTTGTGATTCACATTCATTGCTGCAGGCGTCTAGTTTTTGTCGACGCTTTATGGTCTGTGGTCTTGGGGAACATCTTATTATGCAACTCACGTGGGTACCATGGTTTGTTGCTATGGTGATTGCCAAGGGAGCTAGAGTATTATAGGTGTTTATCCTAGACAGGAGACAAGGCTACTCACCGTCTATCAGGACACGCTTCAATTTACCACACAGTTTGGACCACACATTAAGATCAACACAGTCACATAGGAACAAAGAGAAAACACAACATACAACACAGTCAAGTGTGGATGTGATTTAATGGGTAGATTATTCAGTATTCATATTCCTGGAAGACAGACCTTGTTCAAACACTCAGTTATTGGTTTAATGCGTCACTGCAGCGTTTGTTTTTGGAGAGGACAGACTGTGAGCAGAAAGAAGCAAACAGAGAACAAGAGAGAGACTATTAGAAACTACAAACCATGGTTAAAGGCAAGGTGAAATGTGTAAGAAAAAAAAAGCACACAATAAAAAAAGACAATGGTGAGACCTCTGAAAGTCACCCATGGATTCATTCACAGGATGTGGTCTAAGAAAAGACGAAAATTGCCAATAAGAGTGTGAAGTTTTAAAGGAAAGGGTATATAAATAGAGTGAATACAATGGAGAACTGAGTCTCTCAGCCCATGCATAAATTACACCCATCATTTACATATTCATTATGTTTTGTGTACTAATGAGAGTATTTGCTTAATACTTCCACCACCACTAGCAGCTTTTGTTTGACACAAGATTTTAAAGAGCAGGGAAAAAGACAAAAACAAGGGAGAAAGGGTCATCTTAGTTAAGTGGTTGAGGTCAGTGGCACACAATTGATTTTACTGATACTTGAATCAATCGTATCACAGTTTGGTGCGTGTGTGAACAAGTACAACCTGCACAAGGCTGGTAGAGATGTGAAACGAAGTGCGCATGATGGGGGTTGGTAAAAGTTAATTAAAACAACATAAGCTTTCTCCAAAGTCAGGGCTCTCTTTTCGTCTTCCTCCTCTTGTCTCAGTGGAATAAGTAACTGCTGTGGTAATTACCAACACAGCAGTCACTCTGAGCATTCCTTTAGGTGCCAAAGAAGTCTCCCAAATGACAACAACGACCGCCGATTTGCGGCGTGCATTTAGGAAATTAAAAGTTGTATATGTGTCAATTAAGTAATGTTGTGTTTATATACAAACACACTATGTCCTACACACAGACAGGGTAGCCTAAATGATTCCGAAAGTGAATGAATGAAATTAAGGGAAGAGAGAGGGATGGAAATATAGAGACAGGGGGAAGGGCAACAGAGGGATGAGCTACAAATGAGAGCGATGGCGGTGGCAGGTTGGCACAGTGCCATCCAGTCAGGACTTGAGCGGGGGCGGGCATGGGCATGGGCGAAGGGGCGAGGAGAATAAGAATGGAAGAGGAAGAGAAACAGACCTCCATACCACTACCATGGTGCCACCTTGGCACAGGCACCGCGTGGCGAAACGAACAGCAGAACGGGCAGAGAAAAGGAAGAAATAGAAAATATCAGAGGACAACAGAGCATAGAAGTGAGCAAGATGCCAGCAGACAGAAGATGACTCAGATGTAGATGGATGAAGGGAAGCACAGAAGGATGTTAAAGAGAGAAATGGATGATACTATGAAACTGTAAGGTGTAACTCTGTGAAAGACCATTGATAATACGAAGGAAAATCTAGTTGGATAATTGTGAATTTTATCCATTTTCCGACTTTTCTTTCTCTCTATGCCAGCCACTGTGTGCCAGCCAGCGGGCACCATGCCAACCTGCAGTCATGGCATACGCGAAGCGATCAAATCGGTCGGTGGACTGTCTTAGTCAAAGACAAGGAGACTCACCTCTGAGGATTTGCTGCTAATCACCGTTTGTTTGAATGGACAAAACCAAGAAGACGTGCCCAGGCAACGGTTGCCAGCGATTCTGTGATGGCATCTTTTCGGAGGCGGCAAGGGCAAGGGGAGAAAGATGGCACAGCGCCAAGCTAACATAACACACACATTTGCGAACAGAAATGTCCACACGTTGAAGAGAATACTTCGGATGCCTTAAATGTTTTGGCAATGGCATCCCCTCAAGGGAGAGACCAGAAACAGAGATGGCACCATGCCAAACGCAAACTGGTAGGCATTGACTGGCGCCACCAGAAGCTGTACAAAAGTGTAGTCATGGACACAGAATAGTAGCAGAAGGTTGGAACCAGAGCCACAAATCCAACTGTGGTGGGAGTATGGGATAAAAACCATTTCCTCAATGCCAACTCTACTCAATGCCAACTGCTGCACTGGAAGGAAGCTGCTTCCCATTACGAAGAACCAAGGGGATCGTACCATTCCATTATGGAGAGAAAGAGTATGTGCAAGAAGAGGAATAATGAGCAAAATGAATAAAGGACATAGAAGAAGAAAAAATGGGGAATTTTGTGCTTAATGAAGAACAGTGGGAGTGGGTGGACAAGGATGATGAAGAGCCTCTTTTCTGCACATGCACACCTGGGATGTTCTTAAAGGGATATCCCCTCAGACTGCTGTGTGTGTCAAAGGGAGGGATGTGTTGGCATCATTTCCAGGGTGTCAAGCTGTGTTTCTCTATTGCCAGTCAGGGAGGGTTCTGCAGTCGTCAGGGGCGGGCAACTGTCTGGGCATCTCATCTGCAGCTAATTAACAGCCACACACTAATTCTAACAGCCGATCATAATTAGCGATTTAATCGCTCGTCAACGCTTTTCTCCCCCCTTAAATTGTGCCTCCTATTTGGACACGTGCGGATAAGCTAAGGAACGCTGGATCCCCCTCCCCTTCTCGTCCTTATTTCCTTCATCCTTGGCTCCAGACTCCA